CTGGGAACTTTAGAAAATCAGAGAAGCTTGGCAAATACAACATTCAATCAGTCAAAAATTCCTTTTTCATTAACTCGGCCCATTCAACTTCACAAACTCTTAGCTCGTTTAATTTTAATTTACTCAAAATTTGGAAGAGGAGGGAATAAGAAGAAGACACAGAAAGAGGGAAAGACAAAAAGACACAGAGAAGTACACACAGAGCTACCAGCTCCTGGATTCCAGTGGTGTTCAGATGGAAATCCCAAGAGGAGGTAGGGTCAAGATGTGTGCTTGCCTTGTGGTCAGCCTTCAATACCCCTGGGTCTTGCTGGGCCCTTCCCCCAGGTGGGACTTGGGTTCATTTGGTCCCTCAGGAGCTGGACTGGGGCTGCAGAGGTTGCTGTGGAGCATTGCCTGTGCTGTGCCAGAGACTGGCAGCCACTGCTGGGCTGGGATAGAGGCTCTGGGGAAATTGGGGTTCCAGGGCAGGGCAGTGCTGGGCTTACAGGGCAGGGCAAGGCTGGACCTGCCCCTTCCTCCCCCCCATATGAAATGTTTTGAGACAACAATCTCCTCCAGTCTGTCACAATAGGGAATGTTGGAGGTGAAATCCCAATTCTGGCCTTAGACACCTGGCCAAGAATGACAGTTCTTTTCCATAGGAAAGAAAACCCAGTTCTCAGTTCATTTCTGCTTTGATTACCTGGATTTTTTTTGACTTTGCTGCTGATTTGTTTCCTTGATGTGCCTGAAGTGTCCAGTCAGGAGCAGAGTGACTCTTGCCAAGGAACTTTGTGCTACTGTCCCTTAATATTAAATCTGGTTTTTGCTGATCCCTTGCTGGGGATTTTTTCAATGCTCTCAAGCCCTCATTCATAACAGGGTGAAGGAGCCCTGGTCCAGGCTCTGGCCCTGGGGGACACGGGGACTCTTCCAGGGGGTCCCTGTCCCCCTGTCCTAGTCCCAGCCCCCCGTCCCCATGTCAGGCTCTGGGGTCAATCTCATGGAACATCCTCTGGGGGAGGCTGCGGGGCCGGGGGGGGGGGGACCCGGGGGGACAGAGGACCCCGCTGTGCATGAGCAGGGTTGGACTGCTCTGGGGGACCTGTGAGGGGGGCAGCACAGACACAGCACAGGGACTTTAATGACCCTCTGGGGCTTTGGTGCTCTTCGCATCAGACTCTGTGCCTCACAATGTGCTCACAAAACTTCTCAGGGACTCAAAAAGAGAGTGAAACACTGAAGTTTCTCATACTTTAAATAGACCCATCTGAGGGACAGGACTGACAAAGTGCCCCCAGGTTCCAGGCAGAGCAGAACACTGGAGGCAGTGATGACAGATGGGGACAAGCAAGGGAAAGGTGTCTCTGATGCTGAGCAAACCTGGGTCTCCCTCCCTGCAGGCTGTCAGCATCCCCCGGCTGCCCCACCTGGCTGAGCCCTTCCTTTGCTGACAGCTCTGCTTCCTGCCTGCCTCTGCCTGCCCACACAGAGCCTTGGGCTGCTCCAGGCTCCTTCTGGGGAATGTGCTGCACCAGAGCCCTGCCCTGCCAGGGAAATTCCTTTCTCCTGGTGTCCACTCCCCACATTCCCTTGACATTAATTCTTTCTTTCTCCATCTGTCCTCCACTATGTTAGAAAGATCCACCATCTCTGAAACCCCGCTTCAGTCCTTCCCAGGGCTCTCCTCTGCTCTCCTCAGCCTCCACCCCACTGAGCACAGAGCTCCTTTGTCCCTATATAGTGGTCAAGTGCTTGAGACCAAGCGCACCTGGACAAGAGGGACAGTTCTTTTCTACAGGAAGGAAACCACAGAGGCCCAGGATTTGAAGGCAGATGAGAAGCAGTCACCAGAGGCCAAGGCAAGGCAGACCTGTCTGTCCTTTCAGCTTTTGTCTGAAAGCAGCCTTTGGATATATGGGGAGTTTTTGGTGTGGAATTTAATTTCAGCCATGGGATCCTGGACTGGAATGACAGTTCTCTATAGGAAGGAAAGGGCAGAGGCCCAGTGTTTCAAAGGCTGATGAGAGGCAGCCTCAAGGAGGCCAAGGCCAGCCAGACCTTTGTCAGAGATTGTTGGGATTTTAGCTGACTAGAGACTGGAAAAGTACTGGACTCAGCCTAATTTGAGCTATTGCACCTGCAAGAAAGCGTGTTCTTGGGCCTAGCTGGGCATGATAACAAATAGAGAAAGAGACATGAGAAAAGAGAGATGTAACCCCTAAGGAATGGGCAAGAGCTGATGTTGTGGTGTGGCCAATGGACGGTGTAAATTACAGAATATTCATTATTACTTCCTGTATAAGTGTCTGATGCTCTCTTCAATAAACGGAACTTGCTGATGACTCATATTGAGCCCCGAGTTTTCCCTGCACCAGACAAATGGCTGGAAAACCTCAACAAGGGATGAATCCTTGGATTGATGGAATTTGGGAGGCCAAACCCCACTTTTGTCTACAGGCCTCTGGATGAGAAGGACAGTTCTTTTCCATAGGAAGGAAAGTACGGAGCCTTGATCTTGGTGTCACCTTCGCCTCTGTGCTACTTCCTCAGTGTCACCAACCCTGGTGTCACCTTGACTGCCACCCTCACCTCTGTGTCACCTCAGTGCCACCTTGACCTCAGTGTCACCTACCCTGGTGTCACCCTCACCTTGCTGCCACCTCCTCCTAGGTGCCACCTCCTCCTTGGTGCCACCCTCACCTCAGTGTCACCTTGATCTTGGTGCCACCTTCATCTCTGTGCCACCTCCTCAGTGTCACCAACCCTGATGTTACCTTGACTACCTTGACCAGTGTCACCCTCACCTTGGTGCCACCTTCTCCTCAGTGTCACCTTGTTCTCTGTGCCACCAACCTTGGTGCCACCTTCACCTTGGTGTCACCCTCACTTTGGTGTCACCAGCCTTGATGTCACCCTGACCTTGGCGCCACCATGATTGCTGTCACCCTCACCTTGATGTCACCTTGGTGTCACCAACCCTGGTGTCCCCTTCACCTTGGTGCCACCTTCTCCTCCATGCCATTTTGTCCTCAGTGTCACCAACCCTGGTGTCAGCCTCACCTCGGTGTCACTTCCTCAGTGTCACCAACCTTGGTGTGACCTCCTCCTTGGTGCCACCTTCATTGATGCCACCTTCCCTTCATTGTCACCAACTTTGGTGCCACCCTCACCTCAATGTCACCTCCTTGGTACCACCTCTGTGTTGCCACCCCCTCCTTGGTGCCACCCTCCCCTGAGTGTCACCTTCATTGGTGTCACCCCCTCCTCAGTGCCACCTTGCCTTGATGTCATCCTCACCGATGTCACCTCCTCCTTGGTGCCACCCTCACATCAGTGTCACCTTCCCATCAGTGTCACCAACCCTCACCCTGGTGCCACCCTCACCTTGGTGTCACCTTCTTCTCAGTGTCACTGACCTCGGTGCCACCCTCACCTCAGTGTCACCCTCACGTTGATGTCACCTTGGTGTCACCACAACCCTGGTGCCACCAACCTTGGTGCCACTCCTACCTTGGTGTCACCCTCACCTCAGCGTCACTAACCCTGGTGTCACCTTCACTGATGCCACCCTCACCTTGGTGTCACCTCCTCAGTGTCACAGTGTCACCTCCTCATTGTCATCCCCTTGCTGTCGCCCTCTGGGTGCCCCCCCAATGTCGCCTCCCTCCCCACCCCGTGTCCCTCCCCCCCCCCCCCCCCAACCTGGAATGTCCCCAAGTGTCGCAAGAGCCACCCCCGCGTCCCTGTGACGTCATCACGGTGTCGCAACTCCCGCTTCCACTTTTCCCTCCAAATTGGGGACACGGGGGAGGGGACAGGGGAGAGGGACAGGGGAGGGGACAGAAATGGGGACAGAGACAAGGGAAGGGACAGGGGGGAGGGAGGACAGGGAGGTACAGGGGGGACAGGGACAGGGACAGGGACAGGGACAGGGACAGGGAGGTGACAGCGAGGGGAAAGGGGGGGACAGTGATGGTGGGGGACAGGGATGGGGGGGGACAGGGAGGTGACAGTGATAGGGACAGGGGGGACAGAAGGAGACAGTGACAGGGACAGGAAGGGGACAGTGATAGGGACAGGGGGGACAGGAGGGGACAGGGATAGGAAGGGATAGTGATAGGGACAGGAAGGGGACAGTGATAGGGACAGGGGGGACAGGAGGGGACACGGATAGGAAGGGACAGTGATAGGGACAGGGGGGACAGGAGGGGACAGGGACAGAAGTGGGACAGTGATAGGGACAGGGGGGACAGGAGGGGACACGGATAGGAAGAGACAGTGATGGGGACAGGGGGGACAGGAGGGGACAGGGACAGAAGTGGGACAGTGATAGGGACAGGGGGGACAGAGAGGGACAGGATAGGAAGGACGGGATCAGGAGGGGACAGGAGGGACAGGGACAGAGAGTGGACATGATAGACAGCAATGGGACAGATGACAGGAGGAAGGGGACAGGAGGGGATGGGACAGGACAAAGACAGGGACAGGGTGGGACAAGGAGGGACAGGGACAGGGATGGGGACGGGGACAAGGACAGGGGGGAGATGGGGGCGACAAGGGGGGACAGAGAGGGGACGGGGGTTTGACAGGGACAGTGACAGGAGGGGGACAGTGATAGGGACGGGGGGACAGGAGGGGACAGGGACAGAGACAGAAGGGGGACAGTGATAGGGACAGGGGGGACAGGAGGGGACAGGGACAGAGACAGAAGGGAGACAGTGATAGGGACAGGGAGGGACAGGCGGGGACAGTGACAGGGACAGAAGGCGGACAGTGATAGGGACAGGGAGAGCCAGTGACAGTGCCAGGAAAGGGGTGGGGGGGACAGGGAGGGGACAGGAGGGGACAGTGAGAGTGACAGGGAGGGGACAGGGACAGGAAAAGGATGGTGCCACTTTGGGGATGGGAGGGGACAGGGAGGGGAGACAGGGAGGAGGGACAGGGAGGAGACAGTGTCAGGGAGGGGACAGTGCCAGTGCCAGCGCCAGTGCCAGTGCCAGGGAACAGACAGGGCCATGGCACAGCTGAGCTTCATCCTGCTGCTCGGTGAGCCTCCTCTTCCCCTCCTCCTCCTCTCTCCCTTTTCCCTCAATTTTCCCTTTTCCCCCCATTTCCTGCCCTTCATCCCATTTCCTCCTCTTCCTTCTCTTCCTCCCCACCCCATTTTCCCCCGAATTCCCCTTTCCCCCATTTCTGGGTTCCTCTTCCTCTTCCTCCTCTTCCTCCTCTCTCCCATTTTGCCCAATTTTTCCCATTTTCCCCCAATTTCCATCCCCATTTTCCCAACTCTTCCTCCTCCTCTGCCTCCTCCATTCCTTTTTTCCCCTCAATTTTCCCTTTTTCCCACCATTTTCCTGCCCTTCATCCCAGCTCCTCCTCCTCTTCCTCCCCAGTCAATTTCCCCAAATTTCCTTCCACCCCCCCCCCCCCGGGCTCCTCCTCCTCCCCTCTTCCCCAATTTTCCCCATTTTTCCTCAATTTCCATTATCATTTTCCCAACTCTTCCTCCTCCTCTTCGTCCATCTCAATTTTTCCAATTTTTCCCTTCCTTTTTTCCTATTTCCTGCCCTTCATCCCAACTCCTCTTTCTCTCTTCTCCCTTTTTCCCCACTTTTTCCTTTTTTTCTCTCATTTCCGTGCCCTTTTTCCCACCTGCTCTTCCTCCTCTTCCTCCTCTTCCTCCTCCTCTCTCCCTATTTTCCCAATTTTCCCAGTTTTAAAAAATTTCTTTTTATCTTTAAAATAGGTTTTATTTTAAAATTTCATTTATTTTTAAATTTCCTTTCAAAAATTCTCTTTTATTTCCATTTATTCTAATTTTGCTTTAGTTTTTATTTTAGTTTCTTTTCAAATTTTTGTTTATTTAATTTTCCCTAATTACTAATTAATAAATATTTATTTCCTTTTATTTTTAATGTTTATTCTTATTTTCTTTAAAAATTCACTTTTAATTTCCTTTTTACTTTTTTATTCTTTTAAATTTTAAATTCCTTTCCCCCTATTTAATAATTAGGAAATAGTTTTTATTTCCTTTTTATTCCAAATTTTTCCTTTTTCTTTGACTTTTTAATTTTTATTTTTAATTTCCTTCTATTTTCTATTTCATTTTTAAACTGAAATTTTTATTTAAATTTTTTTCAATTTCCCCTTTTTAAATTTTCCTTTAATTAATAATTTAAAAATAATTTTTAGTGTCCTATTCTATCCCAATTTTTCCTTTCCTTTTAATTTTAATTTTTCCTTTTTAATTTAATTTTTTAAATACTCTTTTAATTTCTTTTAATTTCTTTTAAATTTAAATAATTGTAATTATTTTATTAAATTCATTTCACCTAATTAATAATTACAAATAACTTCTAATTTTCATTTTTAAATTTCCTTTTATTTTCTATTTTCTTTCAAAAAGAACTTTTAGTATTTTAAAATTTATTTTTTGCTTTAATTTCTTTGAATTTTCTTTTATTTAATTTCCCCTAATTATCAATTAATAAATATGTCTAATTTCCTTTTGATCTCAATTTCCATTTTCCTTTTATTTGAATTTTTATTTTTAATTTACTTTTTAAAATTATCTTTTATTTTAAATTATTTCTATTTTAATTTCCATTCATTCACCCAAAAAAATAATTAACAAATAATTTTTAATTTCTCTTTCTTTATTAAATTTTTTCTTTAATTTTAGTCTTTTATTTTTAATTTACTTTTAAAAATAATAATTAATTTCCTTCTTATTTTAAAATTATTTTACATTTAATTTCCCTTATTTCTACCTTATTAGTAATTCATAAATAATTTTTATTTCCTTTCTATCCCATTTTTTCTCTAAGAATTTTTAAATTTTTTTCTTTCATGTTTTTTCCCTTCTGAAAATTCGGTTTCATTTCCTTTTTATTTCAAAATAATTTTTAATTTCCTTTAATTTTTCCTTTTATTTAATTTTCCCCTAAGTATTAATCAATAAATAATTTAATTTTTTTATTCCAAATTTTTCCTTTTCTTAATAGTATTTTAATTCCCTTTTTATTTTAAATTACTTTTAAATTTTTATTCCTTTCATTATTAATTAACAAGTAATTTTTCATTTCCTTTCCATTCCAAATTTTTTCCATTTTTCCCTCAACATTTTTCCTCAATTTTTCCAATTTTTTAAAAATTTCCCATTTTTCCTTTTTTCCAGCCTCTCTCCCGATCCTTTTCCCGCCGGTGAAGCCCTCAGGTAACAAAAAAGTCCCTAAAAAATCGGAATTTTGGACAAAATTGGGACCTTCATCTGCATCTTCTCCATTCCTACCTCCAAAATTTGAATTTTTGGGTCATTTTTGGGCTTTTTTTGACCCAATCTGAGCCCAACCCAAGCAGGGTCATTGTGGCACATGCTCCACCCCAAAAAAAATCAGATATTTAGGAAAAAAAAATCAGAAATTTGGGGAAAATTTGGAGGTTCCTCTCCACCTTCACAATCTTCTACATTCCCACCTCCAAAAAATTAAATTTTTGTCCATTTTGGGGTTTTTTGACCCAACCTGAGCTAAATCCAGGAAGGGTCATGGAGTAACCTCCTCCACCCCAAAAAAAATCAGAATTTTAGGAAAGAAAAATCAGAATTTTGGGGAAAATTGAGTAGATTTTCTTCATCCTCTCCATCATCTCCACCTTCTCAAGTCCCGCCTCGAAAACTCTGAATTTTTAAGCCATTTTTAAACTTTTTGGACCCAATCTGAGCCCAACCCAACCAGAATCATGATGACACCTCCCATGGCCAAAAAACTGGGATTTGGGCAAAATTTCAGTGGTTTTTCTGCATCTTCTCCATCCCCACCTCCAAAAAACAGTGAAATTTTTGATCATTTTCGTGATTTTTTTTACTCAATCTGAGCCAAACCCAACCACAGTCATAGAGACACATCGTCCAACCAACAAAAAAATCAGAATTTGGCAAAAAACAGGATTTTGGGTAAAACTGGGGGTTCTTCTCCATCTTCTACATCTACTCCATCTTCTCCATTCCCACCTCCAAAACCTTCTCCATTCCCACCTCCAAAACGTTGAATATTTTGGTCATTTTTAGGCCTTTTAGAACTAATCCAAATCCAAAGAAACCAAGGACATGGTGGCACCTCCTTCACCCGAAAAAACCCCAGAATTTCAGGAAAAAAAATCAGAATTTGGGGGAAAAATTGGGAGGTTTTCTATCTTCTCCATCTTCCCCATTTTCACCTCCAGAAAATGGAATTTTGGGACATTTTTGGGCTTTCTTGGACAAGTCCAAGCCCAACCCAAGCAGGGTCATGGTGGTACCTCCCATGACCAACAAAAATCAAGATTTTGGGAAAAACCATGTTGGATAAACCATATGGTTCTTCTCCATCTCCTCAATCTTTGCCATTTTCACCTAAAAAACTCTGAATTTTTGGGTCATTTTTAGGCCTTTTGGACCTAATCCAAGTCCAACCCAACCAAGGACATGGTGACACCTCCTCCAGAAAACAAAATCAGATATTTAGGAAAAAAATCAGAATTTTGGGGAAAAATTAGGAGGGTCTCTATCTTCTCCATCTTCCCCATTTTCACCTCCAGAAAATGGAATTTTTGGGACATTTTTGGGCTTTTTCAACTCAATCTGAGCCCAACCCAAGCAAGGTCATGGAGGAACCTCCTCCACCTAAAACAAAATCAGAATTTTGGGAAAAGTCAGGATTTTGGGGAAAAATTGGGAGGTTCTTCCCCATCTTCTCCATTCCCACTTCCAAAACATTGAATTTTTTCTCATTTCCCCCTTTTTTCTCCCCAGACCTCTCCCCTCCCGCCCCCAGCATCTCGGTGACACCGGCCAAGGCGCGTTTCCTGGTGGGCGATGCCGTGTCCATCTCCTGCGCCGCGCCGGCGCCACCCGGCACCGACCGCATCCAGGCCTTCCGCTTCACCGGCACCTCGGGCTGGGCCAGCGACGTCCGTACGTCCCGCCGGACGTCTGTCCACACCTTCACCGTCACCGGGCCCCGCGACGGCGGCTTCCACACCTGCTCCTACAGCGTCGTCCGGCGCGGTGGCCGTGTCCTCCACTCGCCTCCCAGCCGGGCTGTATTCGTCAACATCCGAGGTTTTGTGATGGAAACTCCTGGAGTGGGGGGTTTCAGGAGGCATTTGGGGTCAAAATTTGGTCCTGCTGAGGTTCAGGGTTGGGTTTCCCACCCAATGTTGACTTTTCTACTCAATTGGGGGTTTTAATCCCAAAATTCATACCCATTGAGGTCCAAACTTGACCTTTCAACTAAACCTTGACTTTTCCACTAAACCTTGACTTTTCCACCCATTTGGGCGTTTTTATCACAAAATTCATTCTCGTTGATGTCGAACTTTGACTTCTGTGTCCAATTGGGGAGTTTAGGCCAAAATTTGGTCCTGCCGAGGTTCAGGGTTGGGTTTTCCACCCAATGTTGACTTTTCTACTACTTTTCCACTCAATTGGGGGTTTTAATCCCAAAATAAATCCCCATTGAGGTCCAACCTTGACTTTTCCACCCAATGTTGTGTTTTCTACCCAACTCCATCATTTTGTCCCGAGTTCATCTCATTGAGGCTCAGTGTTGACTTTTCAACCCAACTGGGCATTTTCAGCCCAAAATTCATCCCCATTGACCAAAATGTTGGGGTTTGGTCCAACAGGGGCATTTTGATCCCATAATCTATCCTTGTTGAGGTCCAACCTTGACTTTTCCACTCAACATTGACTTTTCCACCCAATTTGGAATTTTTATCGCAAAATTTGTCTTCATTGAGGTCCAACCGTGAGTTTTCCACCCGACATTGACTTTTCCAGCCAATTTGGGCCATTTTTACCTCCAAATCCATCCCATTGACCTAAACATTGCCTTTAGATGCAACGGTGAAATTTTATCCCAAAATTCATCCCCAGTGAGGTCAAACCTTGACTTTTCCACCAAATGTGACCATTTTCACCCCAAAATCCACCCCCATTCACCAAAAACCCCCTTTTGACCCAACAGCACCATTTTTACCCCCAAATCCCTCCCCTTTTCACCTCCAACCTTGACCTCTGACGCTTCCCCTCCCACCAGACCGCCCGACCCAACCCAACCTGACGGTGACACCCTCGGGCCTCACGTGCAAGGGCAGCCCCTCCTCTTCCTCTGCATGGCCCCGCCCAGCAAAGCCCCTCGGCGCCACTTCCGCTTCCTCCGGGATGAGCTCGAGGTCTCCGAGGGCATCGTGGAAAGTTCTGGAAGCGCCCGGCTGAGGGTGGAGAGGAGCGGCCAGAACCAGACCGGGAACTTCAGCTGCAGCTATGAGGAGATGACCGAGGGGCGCTGGATTGCCTCCTACCCCAGCCAGGCCGTGGCAGTGGTGGTGGAAGGTGATTTGGAGGGGAAATCGGCAGGGTTTGGCTATGGAGAGGGGTGAGGGGAAACGTGAGGAGATGGCAAGGTGAGGAGAGGGAAGGTTGGTTGAGTTTGGTTGGGTCAAGGTTGGGTTTGGTATTGTTGGGTTTGGTTGGGTTGGGTTGGGTTGGGTTGGGTCAAGGTTGAATTGGGTTTGGTTGGGTTTTGTTGGGTTGGGTCAAGGTTGGGTTGGGTTTGGTTGGGTTTGGGTTGGATTGATATGGTTGGGTTTGGTTGGACCTTGGCTGTGTGTGGTTTAGTCACGGTTGGGTCGTGGTTGGGTTTGGTTGGGTTTGGTTTGGTGTGGTTGAGTTTGGTCACATCATGATCCCAAATCTCCGCCTGAATATCCAAAATTGACAATTTCCTTTTTTCCCCCCATTTTTTCCAAAATATTGAAACTATCAGGAGCCACTTTTAGGCTTTTTGACCCAATCCCAACCCCAGAATCTCCCCCTGTTTGGTGGCACCTCCAGGACCATCCAGGGGGTCCCCAAGTTCCTCAAGTCATCAAAAATCAGAATTCTGGGAAAATTTGGGAGGTTCTTCTTCATCTTCTCCATTCCCACCTCCAAACTATTGAATTTTGGGCCATTTTTGGGCTTTTGACCCAATCCAAGCCCTGTCCAAACAGGATCATGGTGGGACTTCCTATAACCAATAAAAATCAGGATTTTGGGAAAAACTGGGTGGTTCTTCTCCATCTTCTCCTTTCCCACCCCAAAAATTGCATTTTAGGCTTTTTTTCCTGCCAAAAATTGAATTTTGAGCCATTTTCACCCTTTTCCCATCCGAATTTTAAAATCACCGATAACACTGATTTTCCCCCAATTTTTTCCCAGACCCTTGTCCGCCCCCCGTGCTTTGGGTGGAGCCTCCGTCTGGCGTGGTCACCGCGGGTCAGCGGCTGCGCCTGACCTGTTCCGCGAGCCGACGTCACTTCCGGCGCCGCTTCCGCTTCTTCCGCGATGGCGTGGAGCTGACTCCGGGTGACCTCATCGATGACGTCATCAGTGACGTCACTGGTGATGGGTCCCAGCTGGTGTTCCCGCAGATTTCGCCTGAATTTTCCGGGAATTTCAGCTGCCGGCTGGAGGAGGAGGTGGGCGGGGCCTGGGTGGAGGCTCCGCCCAGTGAAGGCGTGGCCGTGGTGGTCATGGGTAGGTGAGGGGGTTTTGGGGGAAAATGGGGGATCTGGGGAGGAGACATATTGGGATTTATTGGTCTTGGAGTATTTGATGACCGTGGGCTGTTTTTGGGGTGAGTTTTGGGTTTTTGGGGTATTTGCTGAACATGTTTTTTTAGGGCTGAGTTTTAGCATTTTTGGGTTTTTTCATGTCCACGGGAGTTTTTTTGGGTTGTTTTTGGGGTATTTTCTGGCCCTGGGGTTTATTTCGGGGTGAGTTTGAGGGTTTTGGGTTATTTGCCGACACATGGGGGTTTTTTTGGGATGGTTTTGGGGATTTTGTGGCATTTGCTGAGCCTGGAGTTTTTTTGGGGCAGTTTTGAGTTTTTGAGGTGT